CTGCGAGACTCTGCCCTTCTGGCATCTGTTCCTCAGCCTGCCTGTCCAGTACCTCACCCCCACCATGACACACACAGCCCGCTCTGTGCTTAGGACACCTGGTTGTCATCGCCTAAGGCTGGCCTGTCTGCTTGTGTGAGAGACCGGCAGACCTGGCTTCTAAGCTTTCTAAGTCTGCGTGACCTTGGACGGGTCCCTCGTCCCTTTGGAGGCTCAGTTTCTCACTATAAGTGGGTCTAGCAGTGGCCTCCTCACGGTGGCGCTGTGCTCTCTGAGCTGCTGGAGATGGAGCGTTGGACGGGTCCCTGTTTCTGGTGCCCTTTGTGATGACCCCGGGGTCATGGCCCCAGCATGCCCAGGGTTTGTGGAACGCCTGGCTACAGTGATGCACGAGGGAGTGGGAGACGGGCAGGAGGTCAGGGTGCATCTTTGGAGTCAGAAGACACAGCATTCCTTGGGGACACTTCCCTGAGCCCCTGGTCCCGGGCCTCAGCCACCCACACCCCTTCTCAGCTGCCTTCAGGGCACTCAGTGAACCCCTGCTCTGAGGGCCGCATTCCCAGTGCATCTAACCCAGGCTGGACACTGCTGTGGTCACGTCCCGGGTGAAGAAGTGAAGCTCCACGGGGCTAACGACCGCAAACTCAGATGCCTCCAGGGGTTAGGCCAGCAGAGGCGGGGAAGGACCTGGGCAGGGGGACGCTTAGGGAGTGGCAAGCTAGGGGCACAAGCTCTGTCCAGAGAGCGGCTCCAGCTCAGCTCCAGAAGAGCGTTGCCTTGAGGGACTGTCATAGGTGGCCAGATCTTCTCATTTCATGCATAAAATAAGCTAGACCCCTGGAATTTCATCTGTAATCTTCCAGTTTTTAAATGTTAGCGTTAACTTTTAAAATCTAGATTTCCTGGGGCCCTGGTTGAGGCTCTTGGTTTCAGATGCCTGGCCCAGGGTGGGCTCAGGAGCAGCTGCCAGAGGCGAGCCGGACTCTGGATGCTCTTGGCCCTGCAGCCTCCACTCCCCTCAGACCCCACCTAGTGCTTCCTTGTGGATGTTCAGGGGCAGCTCAGCCCCCAGAGGAGAGAACGGGGGCCTGTGGGCTGCTGGGTGACTGGCTGCCATACGGGGTCCTGGGCTCTAGGAGGAGCCGCCCTTTCCTGCAGTCCCCATGGCAGGTGGCGCTGCCCAGGCCCAACCCCCGCCCCCGCCCACACACACACACCCCTGACACATCCCTCCAGCCCTCTGTGAGCCTGACTAGGCTCGCTCTGTGCACTGACATTTTTCAGGGCCCCCATGGGAAGGAGAGCAGTATGCCCTCACGTTGGAGGACAGTGAACAAGACTCTGCAGCCTTAAATGTGTATTGAGCGCCTGCTGTGTACCTGGTCCTAGGTTGGGAGCTTGGGGGACTGTGAGGAGAAGGAAGCCTGGGCATCTGTCCACAAGAGGACAGAGAACACCTTAGGAGGAGCCAGGGATGTGGACGGCTTCAGCGAGAAGGGAGGAGACATCTGATGGGGGTGGAGGCTGGGATCTGGTGTGGCCTCGGAGCATCACCACGATCTGATCCAGGGGGCATGGGGACAGAGTGTGGGTGTGCTTGGTGGAACAGCACACACAACGGCTCAGAGGTAGGACGTTCACAGTGTGGGGAGTGGAGCAGATGTGACTGGGGCTCCCCGATGTCACCCTGCCCCTGTTCCCGGCCTCCTTCCTCCCTTCCTCTGAGATGATGGAGATGGTGAGGAGAGCAGCTCTTAGTGAGCACTTTCTCATATCAGAACCAGGTTGCTGCCATTAGCGGAGTCACGAATTAAGGTCCTATTTACTCTCTCTTGTCAGTTACAATCATCTGTGGGGACAGAGGCCTCCGGATTTGTTAGCAACATTATTGCCAGTACCAGAACGGCTCTGCTCAGCTCCCAAAGTCCAGGGGCCTCTGAAACCTGTGACTTCCTTCTGCGCCTGCCTTCACTCTCTGCTCAGTGTCTCTCAGCAGCTCCCTATTGCCCAGGACCCGCCTCCCTCCAGGCATCAAAAGTAATAGGAGACCCTGCCCACTGCTCCCGACCTGTGCTGTGCTCATGCGGGAATGAACCACAGTCATCCCGCGCTGGCTCGCCTCCCGCCTCTGCGCCTCTGCTCTCTGCACCTCTGCATCTCTGCATCTCAGCATCTCTGCATCTCTGCTCTCTGCATCTCTGCGCCTCTGCATCTTTGCTCTCTGCTCTGTGCCTTTGCATCTCTGCTGTCTGCATCTCTCCTCTACGTCTCTGCTTTCTGCTCTCTGCATCTCTGCGCCTCTGCTCTCTGCATCTCTGAGCCTCTGCATCTCTGCATCTCTGAGCCTCTGCATCTCTGCGCCTCTGCATCTTTGCTCTCTGCTCTGTGCCTTTGCATCTCTGCTGTCTGCATCTCTCCTCTGCATCTCTGCATCTCTGCTCTCTGCATCTCTGCGCCTCTGCTCTCTGCATCTCTGAGCCTCTGCATCTCTGAGCCTCTGCATCTCTGAGCCTCTGCTCTCTGCATCTCTGCGCCTCTGCTCTCTGCATCTCTGCATCTCTGCATCTCTGAGCCTCTGCTCTCTGCATCTCTGCATCTCTGCATCTCTGCGGCTCTGCTCTCTGCATCTCTGAGGATCTGCACGTGCTGCTCCTCCTGCTCTTCTGTCCCCTTGTCTTTGAAACCTCAGCTCCCTTGTCCATTTCTCCTTCATGGCAGGATCAAGTTGGTTGCTCACACAGCTGCCTCTGCACATTCCACCTGGCCTTCTTCCCGTGGATGCTCATTTTGGAGGAATCACGGTAGGTCCAAGCCAGTCAGGGCAACTGCTCACCCCTCCTCTCCCCCACCTCTGGTGATTGATCCTGGCAAGGACTCATTCTGGCCAATGAGACGTTAGGGGAAGTCTATGGGGGCTTCTGTGAGAGATTTTCCTTCCTGAAAAGAAAGAGCAGGGCGGGGAGGAAGATGCGCCTTTGCTTCTGGCTTGAACATTGACTGTGCAGGTGTGATGGCTGGAGTGGAGGCAGCCACACTGCAGTCATGAGGGAGTGTTACCACCATTTTGTACATGGTGGGGTGGAGAGGGGGTGGCTTCTGCGTCACTGATGACATTGCTGGGCCACCAGAACACCTCTAGACTTCTCGTCTCTCACATCATTTTTAAACATTAAACATTAGAAGCCTTTGAAGTTTAAGCCACTCTTAGTAGAGTTTTCTGGTACTTCAGCCAAACACACGTCTCACTGGTACAGCCTTCAAGTCTCAGTTAAAACTTCTCTGTCCTTAACTAGTTCCCCAGCAGACGTGGGCCTCTGCCCCGACCCCACCCTTCACCCATGGAAACAGCCTGTGAGCCGCGGTTCTCAGTCTGCCTGGCTGGCTCGTCTGTCCTTGGTTTGTGAACAGCTCTGGGGCCGGCCTGCACCCTTTCCTCCCTGTGCACCCTGAGCCTGCACACAGCAGACCCTCAGACACCGCAGGGACTTCACCCCCAGCACGGCCAGAAGCCGCCAGCCATCATGAAGCCTTTGGGGTCCCTTTGGTCTGAGCCCTGTGTCCGGGCCTCGGGGCCTCGACAGCCTCCTCAGTTGGTGCAAGGTCCTGGTGGGCAGTGCTTCCTGGTGGGCAGCTCTCGCCTCACAGGGCCCTAAGTGCTGTGCTGTGGTGGACTGTCCCTGGACTCTCCTGCAGCAGCCCCGAGAGGCCACGAGGCAGAGATAGCAGGATCTGAGCTGCGATCCAAGGAGACGTGGAAAGGGCAGCAAGGGACCCATCCCGTTCCAGAATGAGCAAGGCACTCCACGTATTCTGGAAAGACCTCTGCTGTGCAAGTGGGGAATAGGGTCCCGCAAGACCCAAAGGAAGGGGGTGTCCCCAGGGACGGTGAGTGGCAAAGGCTCCTGGCCTCCCCTGTAGCGGCTCCAGACACTGGCCCTTGTGGTCGCATGAGCATGACTCTGCCAAGGAAAGCAAGAGAAAGGGCTGCTAGGCGGGGACCAGGCAGGGCCAGGGCCAGGAGCATGGCCCCTCCCCTCTGTGCAGATGACCTCTGGGCGCCTCTGGAGGCACCTGCAGCCACCATGGCTCAGGCGCTCACAGCACATGTGTGTGGCGCTGGCGCCGGAGCCCCCGACAAGTGGACAAGCCACAGTGGGCAGCTTCCCAGAAAGCAAGAGGCAGAATCTGGGCTTGCTGCCTGGTCCACACGTCCTCACTATAGCCAGTGACCTCCCTTCTCTGAGCCTCAGTCTTGTCCTCCAAAATAAGGATTAATTTGGGTAACACGAGTGCCCCCAACAGCAGGCCCCCAAAAGATGTGGCTTGAGCCCATTTGGATCTCCAGGTTAGACTGGAGCCTTGCAGTGTCATCTGGAAGTTCTCCCTTGAAGCTCGCCTGAATCCTCAATATTATAGCTGTTCCAGAGTGCTCTTTAGCCAGCTGCAAGGAACAGTCAGAATTGTTCTCCTTTTTTGTTTTTTTTTTTTTATTGCGAGGACAATTGGCCCTGAGCTATCATCTGTGCCAATCTTCCTCTATTTTCTATTTTCTATGTGGGAGGCCTGTCACTGCACGGCCTGATGAGTGATGGGAGGGTCTGCACCTGGGATCCGAACCTGCAAACCCCGGGCCGCTGAAGAGGAGTGCATGACTTAAAGACTATCCCACTGAGCCGGCCCCCAGAGTTTTTTGGATAGCCAGTGACAGAAAACCCAAAGTGGCTTAAACAAGCAAACAAAGCAGGAGAGAATGATTTCTGTAACTAGGCAGTCTAAAGTCAGAGAGCTTCAGGCGAGGCTGTACCTGGGTGCTCGACGCCATCAGCAGGGATCGTCCCTCCCAGCCTCTTGGCTTGGCTTCCTGCCCTCTGTGCTGCTGTCCTGCTCAGGGGGCTCTCCACCACCACTCCCAGGCTGGCCTCATCGCCCCTCAGCAGCCCAACAGAAAAAGAACTTCTCTTCCCCAGGATTCCAGCCCTAACTGCTCCCGGTTTCCCAGGTGGGAGATGGGGTGGTGGCTGGGCGGGCTGGGCCAATGTGTGACCAGCTATTAGTCGCTATCAGCCCTGCTATCAGTTCCCCTTCAGTGAACCCAGCAGAGATGGGCTAAAACTAAAGGCACACATCTCCAGGACCCTGGATCCTTAGTTACACTCATTGGAAAATGCTTGTTTCTTTAACCTTTGACCCCCTGAGCTTTACGACCAAATAGAAGTTACAAATTGTTCAAGTCCAGATGGCCTCACTCTGGGCTCCCACTAAAGTTGTGGGCGATCCCAGGACCTTGAAGTCCTTTTACAGAGAAACTAGTGCCCAGACAATATCAAGAAACCGAGGCTTCCCAGGCCCAGCTCCTCGGCTCCCTGACATCAGAGTCCACCTTCCCCCGTGGAGACAAACAGCCAAGGACGCTCATCTGAGAAACCCTCTTGTTTCCTCTGCCATCCCCCAGGACTCCATGAGGGAGAAGTACTTTCCTTGATGAATAGGGTGGGAACTTGAGGCCTAGGGAAGATAAGCACCTGCCCCTCAGCACAGCTAACAAGGGGCATGGCCAGGATTTGAACCCGGGACTAAGCCTAAACCCCGTGCCCTACGCCCTTCGCACTGTACCAGATTCCTCTCAATCATGAAGACTTCCTTATCCTTGGGGCTCAGGAAGCCATCTTGCACCCGTTGTCTCATTTGATCCTCAAAACAGCTCTGTGAGGTGGGAGGATCCACGGTCAGGGCCTGGCGGGAGAGGACGACCCATTGCTCAGATGTTTCATTGAAGAGGGTTTAATGAAAGGACCGTGTGCAGAGGTGTGGGTGGGGTTGAGGGAACCAACAAGAGACGGTGAGGTGCCAGGGATGATGAAGACTCTCCTGACCAAACTTTAGCTAGGCTCCTCTAAGCCCTCTTCTCGACAAGGCCTTGACTTTGGCCCCGTCTGCCTTTGGCCTGCCTGGCCGGGTCTCAGCGAGAATCTTGCTGTCAGTTTAGTGAGAATCGCCCCACTCTCGCTATCTGATGACCCTTGATATCTGATCAAGTTCCTCCTCCCTCACCTTTGACGTCTAAGTCCTTTCCTGCCTTCAGCAAGAATCCTGGGATCCTTGATGTCTCCTCTTAGTAATCTTCCCTCCACTGACCCCCTTGCTCTGCTCCTTGGCTGTAAATCCGCTTTGTCCTTGTTGTGTTCCAAGTTGAGCTCCATCTCGCTCCCCTATTGCAATGGTCCTGACTAGTCTCCCTGTTGCCACAGTCCTGAATAAAGTCTTCCTTACCATTTTAACAAGTGTCCGAATAACTTTTTCCTTAACAAAGGGCAAGGAGAGACAGCTGGTAAGAGCTGCCTTTGGGAGAGGAGCCACCCAGAGGAGCTTAACTACAGAGGAAAGCAGCCATTGTCAAAACTGTGGCTTGGCAAGGGGGTCAGGTGGTGGGACAAGTACCTTGACCTCTCTCTTCTCCTGTCCACCGGTCTCCTGGCAATGTCTTCCATTGGCTGAACCCAACTCAAAGCCAGGAACAAGGCAGACAGATTGGCGGGGGAGGGAGGGATGGACTGTCCATAGAGCTTTATCTCCTGGCTGGAGAAGGTAGAAAATGGAATTGGGAGGGATAAGGCAAAAGGAAAATAACTCCACCTGAAAATATCATTACAGGCAATTAACAGATAAAGAACTGAGATTTGATGAGGCTATAATTCAAGATCACACAGTTGGGAGGTAGGATTGCTGGTACTGAAACTCTGGTCTTTAGATTCCCAGCCCTGAGCTGTTTCTGTTACACTAATACCCGTTACACCCAAATCTAGTGATGGAAAACCACCGTCATTATTGATCATCACTCCGCAGTTCTGGCGGGAGACTGGGCTCAGCCAGGCGGTTCTCGTTCGGGGTCTCGCACGGCTGCAGTCAGATGGCGGCCAGGACCAGAGTCACCCTAAGAGGTGCTCGCTCAAACATCCAGGGCTGCAGCATCCGGGGCGCCTCACACGCCTCTCCCTCCATGTTCTCTCTCCACGAGGTCTCAGTGTCTGACAGCTTCAGGGCGCCTGGACTTCTTACAGAGTGACTCATGGTCCCAAATGTGCATGTCCAAGAAAGAGAGAGCAAGTAGAAATTGGACTGCGATCTATGACCCACCTTGGGAAGTCACACAGTGCTGCCTCTGCTGCTTCCAGGACAATCACAAAAGCCTGCCTCGGTTCAAGGGGAGGCAACACAGACTCTCTCTCGATGACAGAGTGAGAAGATTCTGGAAGAGCATGAAACTACAGATACTGTTGTGACGATTATGGGGAAACACCGTACTGTACGCCCTCTAAACTTCATTACAACCCCATGAGTGACACAGAGGGGCCATCTCTTTGCTCTGGATGACTTTCCAGTTCTTGAAAGTCATCCCTTTCTCCTCGTCCCTCTGCAGAGGCGGAGTGGGGCACGCAAGCCTGAGTGATGACCACCCCGAGCGCCACAAGCTCGTGTTCTCGTAACAGGATTTAAAAGTCCCCCTGAGGATGGCGAGCCTGTGTTTGGCTCTAGGGTAACTTGTTCTCTGAGGGTCTCACACGGATATTCTCACAGCCAGCGAGGCAGAATGTGAAGGTGGACACCGAAGGTACCAGAATGCGTCACTCCAGAATATGCCACTTTGGCATAGGGATTATTTTGAGCTAAAGGAGACAGAACCAGCGGACACAGGAAAAGCTCCTTACCTCCCCCTAACCGACTAGAAATGAAGTAGAAATGTGCCCTTTGGTAAAGGAAATTTCCATTCGTAAAAAAGTCCGTACCAGGAGGAAAGCTACCCCTGGAGGCAGCTCTTATCCCCTGAGAGACTCTCATCTCAAGATAAGACAAGACAAACCTTATGGACAAGACCTTCCTCCCCGCTTCCCATAACTTGCCTCCTCACCCAGAAGTCCAAACCCCTTTCCCTTCGTGTAGTCTAAGATGGTGTACAGGCCTCAAGCGTTTGTCACCTCCTCGAGTCTCATTTCCCTGTGAAACTCCCATGCGTATGAGGTAATTAAAGCTGTTTTTTCTCTTGTGAGTCATCCTCTATCAGACTGATTCTCAGGCTTCACCACTGAACCTAAGAGGGTAGAGGGGAAAAGATGTTTCCTTCCCTACAATGAAAATCCCCCCCCCAAATTCAATTAAAAAATTTCCCTGGTGCCAAAAGGGAAAAAGATCTTTTCTCCCTCTCCCGTTTCTTTTAGCACTCCTTTAGAAAACTGCTAACTGTGAATCCTTCCTCCTTCTCTTTGAGGTGCGTGGAAACCTGTCACAAAAGCGAAATAAGCCTCTTGCCACCTTTGCATCCCAGGAGTGTCCTTCCTGAAGGCCTCGCAGCCATCTTACTGGAATGTGAGCATCAGGGAAGAGGGTCCCGTCTCTCTGTCACTGTGGGAGTTTAGCCCGGGTGCTTGGCTCCAAGTTGTAATCTCCTGCTTTGGAAAAGATATGAGAAGTTTTATTTCTCCTTTGGATACAGACAATCAGCGTGTGTGTGGTGGATTGTGTCTGCCTGGCTGTGTCAAAGGGTAAGGTTTCTGTTTGTCTTTGCAGTCTCTTTTGTGGATGGCTGGTCATGAGCATCACAGGTCTGGTTTAAGGCTCACTCGATAATAAAACTGATTCATTCTCTTCTTCATTTGGTGGAGAGGATTCACCTGGTTGGCAGGAGATTTTATTTTATTTTATTTATTATTTTTTTTTATTGAGTTATTGATAGGTTACAATCTTGTGAAATTTCAATTGTACATTAATGTTTGTCAGTCATGTTGTAGGTGCACCACTTCACCCTTTGTGCCCACCCCCTACCCCACCTTTCCCCTGGTATCCACTAAACTGTTCTTGGTCCATAGTTTTAAATTCCTCATATGAGTGGAGTCATACATAGATTATCTTTCTCTCGCTGGCTTATTTCACTTAACATAATTCTCTCAAGGTCCATCCATGTTATTGCAAATGGAATGATTTTGTTCTGTTTTGCAGCTGAGTAGTATTCCATTGTATATATGTACCACATCTTCTTTATCCATTCGTCTGTTGATGGGCACTTAGGTTGCTTCCACGTCTTGGCTATTGTAAACAGTGCTACAATAAACATTGGGGTGCACAGGACTTTTGGGATTGCTGACTTCAGGCTCTTTGGATAAATACCCAGTAGTGGGATGGCTGGATCGTATGGTAGTTCTATTTTTAGTTTTTTGAGGAATCTCCATACTGTTTTCCATAGTGGCTGCACCAGGAGATTTTATTTTTAATGACTTCTCCAACAGGGAATCATGTTATATATTTTTCCCCCATTTTTCCAACAGCAGCAAACCCTTGTTGGAGAACTAATTAAGCACATTCATTCAATAATATTTATTGAGCACCTACTCTGTTCCAGGTGCTGTGCCAGAATGATAGAAGCCTGGGGAAATTGCCCTTGGCCTCCTCAGCCTGGTGGACAAAGCCTGTGGGACTATGACTGCACCCCGTCCAAGGAGGCCCAGAAGGATGACTGAGGCTGGCGGTCAAGACATCAGAGGCTTGCACAACCACGCGTTTGACAAACCCATTGGTCGGGTGGAGTAAGCAACTGCAGAATGTATGGTGGGTGATGTTGCAAACTGATAAATTCTATGTGAGCACATACTAAGGGACCAGACCAAGCCTGGTGGGTTAATGTATCAGACTGAGTCATAGCAGTCACCATTTTTGTAAGTAAAATACATTGGAATATCAAGAATTTTATAAGGTTCAACCGAATAGACATCTGTGGGTTTTGTCTGTCCAGTTTCCATTCCTTCTTTTGGTACCTCCCTTCTCCTCCCCAACTCTCGGACCATGTAGCTGGGGTGGGGCTTCCACCAATAGCAACTCAAGGATGAGCACGTGGCCCAGACCTGGATAAGGAGAGTCACCCCTCCCACTAACTAACCACAGTGATTGGTTCAGGGGTGGGCGCATGACTCAAGCTGGGACAATAGGAGTCGCACCAACAAAACCTACATGTTGGCACTATGCTCAAGCTAGTAGCAAGATGGCAGCCCTTTGCACAGGATGGAGAGATCCTGGCTGAGAATGAAGCCAACACAGAGTAGAGAGAACCTAGAGACAAAGAGAGACAAAATTCTAACACCATCATCTGGCACCTAGATGCAGCTATAACTGAGGCCTCCCTTGATAGATAGATTAGATGAATAGATGATAGATAGATAGATAAGTTTTTAAACTTTTGAATCTGATGTAGATCAAGACTGTCCCAGGCAGAGAAGGGCAAGGCGTCCTGCCCTACATACCAACCTATATCATCCTCCAAGAAGTATAGGACATCCTGACCTGATCTGACCTGATTCGTATCCAAAGTTATAAGACCACCCAATAACCAGACCCCACCTGCAGTGATATCATTTTAACAACTTTTCTTTACATAATCTTTCCTTTGTCTTGTAAAGAAATAACTCACATACCTATGCTTATAAGTTTAGCTCTAACCCTCAACCCATCACAGCTCTCCACTGCCCACGGGCCCTGTCCCCACGCTGCAGCTCTCCACTGCCCATGGGTCCTGTCCCCATGCTGTTCTCTGAATAAAGGAGCACTACCACCAGACCTTCAGAGTCCAAGAAAACTTTCTTTTGACTCCTCAGCTCACCGAGCCCGCATCAAATCCATTTCTGTTACTTATAATGTGGGAGACTGGAATTGGCCACCCCAAAATATGTCTCTTTGGCGTGAGGATTATTTTGGGCTGGTTACTTTTAAAAACTGCAGACACGAGAGAAACTCTGAAAAGCAGAAGTTGCCCTTTGTAAGAGACACTTACATTTGTAAGGGAAATCTCCATCTGTAAAGGTGGCTCCCTCTCTGTACCAGGAAGAAGAGGGGGATGAGCTTATCTCTAGAAACTCTTATCAATATGGAAGGCAAGGACTTAAACCTTCACATTAGCCTTACTCTTGTTTACTGTGCTTTTCTGGTAATCTCCCATAACTGACTACCCCCACCCCAACCCTCCTTTGTAGCTGAAGATGGTATTTAAGATGAGAACCTCCGCCAATTTGTCGAGTTGCTCGGTTTTTCTGGGTCTCTCCCATGTAGACATGTCATAAAGCTTTGTTTAGTTTTCTCCTGTTATTCTGTGTCATGTGAATTTAATTCATAGCCCAGCCAGAAGGACCTAGAGTGGGTAGAGGAAATATCTTCCTCCCCTACGATAACAAAAAGGGTCCTGATATACACTTAGGAAGGCTTCCCAAGAAGGTGGCATTTCAGCTGAGGGGCTGGTTTGGCAGTGGGGGGTGAGGAGAACATTGGGGAAGGAGTGAGGGGTGGTCTGTCCCTGGGTATTGGGTCTAAGGCCCTCACCAAATGACTGCATCAATGGCATGGACTTGCTCCGCCCCTTCAGGTGCTCAATAAACCAAAGAGGTCTGTCTTCTCCTGAGCATGAGCTTTACCGGAAACAGAGTTAATGTATTATTGATGAGCCATAAATAATGGGGTAAGCATGATTTCCCAGTTAGTGTTGAAGTACAAAAGTATAACACTGACATTTTAATGAGGTTTTTATGGTCCAGGCTACTGTTTACACTCTGGAAATGTGGGCTGGCTTTCTCAGGAAAGCAGTTTTTCCTTTACGTTTCTTATTTTCCTCCTCCATTTGTCAGCAGCCTTTTGAATATTTCTATGAAATATTATAGTTAAGACAGGTCATATGAAAGAGTACAAATACAACTGTATTTGAAAGACAATGTTGCTAGTGCTCCCAAGGCCTTGTCTTCACTGGATGCAGCAAATAAAGGTCAGGGGCACCCCAACCTCCCACAGGCTCCCTACATTTCTGCCTGACAAGGCAGTTTGGCTCGGCATACAGAAAAGAGTATTGGCAACAGACAAACCTGGGTTCAAATCCTGACTTAGTCTCCAATTAGCCATGTGACCTTGGGCACGTTACTTTAGCCCTCTAAGCCTCAATTTCTTCATTTGTATAATGGAGAAAATAACACCCATCTTTCAGCAATGCTATGAGGTTGAAAATAATTCAATGCAATTAAATTGTCTGGGTATGCAAATTAAGATGCATTTGGCTGCAGATAATAGACAAACCAACTCAAACTGGCTGAAACAATAATAATGATGAGAATTGGCTCACATGACAGGGAGTCCAGAGAGAAAGCACGTATCAGGGTGGCCTAATGCATGGCGCAGGCTCTGTTTGCCCGGGTTCTCTTGGCTCTGCCCTCCTCTGAGTTGGATAACCTCAGGCTGGCAGCAAGATGGCTACAGCAGTTCTGTAGCCTCATTTCCACAATCAGTGCCAGAGGAACAGAGAATGTGGTACTCTTTTGAGATGTTGACTCTTCTGCATCAAAAAGTGGAGTTGATGTTCCCTCTTCTTATACTGGGCGGACCTTTATAACGGCCTCAACTGATAGAATGAAGTGGAAGTGATGCTGCACAACTTTCAAGGCTGGGTCATAAAAGGAAACACAGCTTTAAGCCTGGTCCTCTCCTGGGACACTTGCCCTCGGAACCCAGTGACCACACTGTTGGGAGGTCCAGGTCATGGGTAGGTATTTTGGCCAAGAGTATCCTCTAGGCTCCCAGCTGACAGCTTAGCATCAACCACCAGATGATGCCTTCAGACGATTCCACCTCCCGGTTTTCAGGTCTTCCAACTGAAGGCCCAGACATTATGGAGCAGAAGCAAGCCATCTCTGCTGTGCCCTGTCTGAATTCCTGTCCCACAGAAACCGTGAGAGGTTGTAAAGGATTATAGTTGTTTTAAGCCTCTGAGTGTTGGGGTAATTTGGTATGGAGAAATACATAATGAATACAACATAAAATTTTTTAAAATTCTTCAAAGCAAAAACCATTAACAGTAAAGTCAAACGACAAACTGGAGGAAAATTTTTTCAACACCGATCATAGAACAAAAGACTAATGTCCCTAAAAATATAAAGAGCCCCAACAACTCAATAAGAAAAAGATCAAGAACCCAATGGACAAATGGGTAAAGGACATGGATTTACAGAAAAGGAAACACAAATGTCTCCTAAACATGAAACACGCTCACCTTCACTTATCGTTAGAGAAATACAACGTAAAACCATAGCAAAATACTATTTTCTACACATGAGATCAGCAAAAATATAAAAGTTTTATAATGTATTCTGTTAGTGAGGATGCAAGGAAACAAGCACTCTCATGCATTACAAGTAGGAGTAAAGATTGATGCAAAGCCCATGGGAGACAACTTGTCAATAGTTAGCAGTAGTACAAACGCACAGACCCTGTGACCCAGCACTTCTAATTTGGGAACTTTTCCTACAAATATACTCGCATGTAAATGAATGGATGGATGTACAAGTTTGTACAAATTACCTGTGCATTTGTATAAATCATTACAACACAGTTTACAGTAGCAAAAGATCAGGAACAATCTACGTATCCAACAATAGGAAACTGGTTACATAAATTACGGAATATTTGCAGCCATAAAAAGAATGAGGAGGAGCTGGCCTGGTGGCACAGTGGTTAATTTCACATGCTCCATTTCAGTGGCCTGGGGTTTGTGGGTTCAGATCCTAGGTGTGGACCTACATACCACTTGTGAAGCCACGCTGTGGTGGCGTCCCACATACAAAGTAGAGGAAGATTGGCACAGATGTTAGCTCAGCAATAATCTTCCTCACGCAAAAAGAGGAAGATTGGCAATATATATTAGCTCAGGGCCAATCTTCCTTCCCAAAGTCAAACAAACAAACAAACAAACAATGAGCAGGTACTTCACGTACAGATACTGAGAGATCACCTAGATATATTTTTAAGTGAAAAAAGAAGAGTCAGAAGAGTAAGCTATTTGGGCTTTTAAACAGGGGATGAACTTCTTACACATACAAGCATACTTATAATTGTATAACATATTCCTGGAAAGATAAATAAGAATCTGGTAATGTGAGTTACCTCTGGGAAAGGGAACCTGGTAGCTAAAGGACAGAGAGAGGATGAAGATTTTGTACTTCTTGAATTTTGAACCCTATGAATATATTGTTCATAATATGTATTATATATAAACTATGAATATAAATATATAATCTATAACATAAGTATAGATATGTATAAATTTAGAACTCGGCATAACTCATGGATGACAATTGTACAAACACTTTGGAGGTCCCCCATGTGCCAGGCAGGGTGCCAGGTGAGGACACAGTGGCGACCAAGTCAGCCTTCACTGAATTCACAGTCTAGCGAGACGGGCATCACAGAGGTAAACCCACCAGCCAGAATCACGCACGGAGCGGAGAGAACCCCGTGCTGGGAGAGAGGACAGTGGGGTGGGGCCCGATTTAGAAAGGGAAGCAGGGGAAGCCCCTCGGAGGAAGGGATCCTCAGGCCGAGGAGGCATTAGCCCAGCTTCTGCTTACTTAGTGCCACAGCGATATCTATCCCCAAACCGGCCAGCTTGAAACGACCACCATGTTATTATATCTCACGAATTCTGGGGTCAGAAATTCGGGCAGGACTGGATGGGGCAGTTAAAGCAGTCACAGAGCCGCCCAGATTCCAGGGGCGGGCACAAGGCCCCACTCTCCTCACGAGGAGCGTCAGAGGGTTTTCGGCCAGCTTTCACCCCACGCCAAGCAGAGGGGGTGCGGGAGCACAGGGGCCGGGGTGAGGAGAGAGTGGAGAGGGGCCGGCAGTCAGGTCCTGCAGAGCCTTGAGAGGTGTGTTAAGGGTTTTGAATTTTAGTTTCTGCACAACGTGGAGCCACCAAGGAGTCTGGAGCAAGGAAATTAGCCGCTCCCCTGTGCTGCTTCCCCGCCGCTGTCACGCTCATGTCACCGCGTTAGTCCGGCGGAGGCTGGGACACCTTCGTATTCCACTCATTGTAAGTGCTAAGTGAAATAAATGTGAAATACATAAATGAACTGATTAATAAGTGATTATCTAAAACCGCTGTAATTGTAGGGCATCAGTTCAGTGATTTCCAAACTTTAATATGTCTATGAATCTCCAGGGGTATTTCATTAGAAGTAAAAAACGCAGATTCTGATTCAGCAGGTCTGAGGTGACCTGAAATTGTGCCTTTCTAATAAGTTCCTGTGCGACAGTTCACACTTGAATAGTGAGTGTTTAGAAATCATTGTATGTCAGAATGTTTTCAGCTGAAAGAAAGAGATAACGGGATGCGGTACCAAACAGTCAGAGGTGGAATGATGTCATCCAGGGCCAGCTTCTGCTTCCTGTCTCTGCTGTCCTCGTCACCAGCTTCACCCTCATGCTAGGGCCCGTCGTGGCCTCTGCTGGCCACTGCAGTTCCAAGGAATCACTCTGGACACTACAATGTCCAGAAAGAGAAACACACTCTATCTCCGGACATCTCTTTCTTAGGAGAGAGGAAGCCTTTTCCAGGGGGCCTCAGAAGCCTTCCCCTAATGTCTCTGTGGCCAGAATAGGGTTATGTATTCAACCGTAACCAATTGTGAGCAAGAGGATCCGGAACTCCATGACTGGCCAAGACTCATCAGGATCTCCTGCTGGAACAGGGAATCTGGGGAACTGGGGTTTGAGGAGAAAACAGAGCAAAGCTGGGGTTCTGTTTGTAAGAAAGTGAAAGCAGGCAACCAGCAGTGTCCGCTACACTGTAGTATGCAGTCTGGTTACTTGATTGTACAGAGACCTACGTATTATATCTAGATCCGTATCTATATCTATCTTTATGTATAAAATAGGGAGTTTGTCAATTTTTCTAAGAAAAAATTTAAGTACAAATTAAAAAGTCTTACTCAATACCCATTAAAAAGTGTATGGAAACAAGCATTTGATGATTTGAGCTGGGGTGGAAAGGTCTGGGACTACGGGGAACAGGGCACCTGTTCTGAACGCTACCACCTTGTGGGGCAGAAGACAGAAGGAGCTAAAGCAACCGACTATATAAACAAAGGAAACTTTTTACTCGTGTGGCCAGAGTTCCTGGGCAATCACCATGAACAGAGAACTGTGTCAAGGGCTGTGGGAGATCCGAAGATAAGGCACAGTCCCCTCCCCCTAAGAACTCCGCAGTTTAAGACACATATACAAATAATGATGAGTGAAGCACATAAAAAATAAGTGCCCAGAGAGATGGTGGAACAAAGTGTATGGAAGCCTAGAAAAGGACACAGTCCTCCCGGCTTGAAGGATCGTGAGGAGGACAGGGGATGTACCATTTCTAGTGTTAGCCTTGAAAGATGGGGAGATCTTTAATCAGTGGTGATGGTACAGGAGCGGGAAGGATTGGAGAATGGAAAGGTGGAAAAAATGAACATTCCCAGTGGAGGGGGAAAAAAAACCCCACATTCAGCACAAGCGATGTGGGTATGAGAAAGGCAAGCACCCTCACTGGATTCCTACTGCAATCTCTTATCAATAGGAAACCATGAATAACATCAAGTAAGTGTCAAGTCATACAAGGAGGGAGGGAGACAAGGACGGCTCCTGGGAAGAGAGAGGCCTGAGCCCTCTGTGTAAGGATCATGTCCCCGGAGAAGCAGGCTGTAGCCCGGGCAGGGGGTCAGGGGAGCAGGCCCAGTTTCACAGTTTATGACCCTAACTACCAGCATCGAGGACAGAAACGGTTTCTTCAATGAATAAATTGCAAAAACAACAAAAAAATATGAAGGAAGAATCTATTGATTAAAAGTGACCTAAAAGACACAATATGTGGTTTGATTCAAACTGGCCAACTCTAAGAGAAATATTTTATGACATTTATGAGACAATTGAGTATTGGGTATTTGAAGATGTTAAGAAATTATTGTGATTTTTTTAGGTACTGGTATTCTGGTTATGTTTTTTAAAAGAGGCTTTATCTTTTGGAGGTATATTCTGAAATACGGATGAAATGATGTCTGGGATTTTCTTTAAAATAACACAGGAAGTAGGAGAAAGGTACAGATGAAAGAAATCGGCCGTGATTTGGTAACTGTTGCAAGTGGGTGTTGAAGGTTCATTATGCTATTCTGTCCAGCTTTGTACCTGTTTGAAATTTACCATAACAGACAATGTAAAACAAATTATTTATATTGAAGTCGGGAGTCCCAGAAAGCAGCTCTGTCGGGAAGCTCCACCCCCTGCTCTTTGGCTGGCCCCGCCCCTCTGGGTGCGCGCAGGTTTCCAGTCCCCGGTGTCTCCCGACTTTCTCATCTCCCCTCGGGAATCCCTTCGCCTCCCACCTCCTAAGTCGCGCTCTGTCTTCTCCCGCAGGCCCCGCAGACTGCTCCGAGTCCCCGGAAGTCACTCGTGTCCTCCGGACCTCGAGCCGCGGGCCCGACTTCCCCTCGTCCCCGGGGAATTTGGTCTCGTCCTGGCGCAGACCCTGGGAGCGCGTCCGCGTCGTCATGGCGACGGGCGGAGCGGGCGCTGGCTCCCGCGAATCCGGCCCGGGAACCAGCTCCACTGTGAGCCGCCTGGGACCTGGGGCGCGGGGTGGCTCCCTTGGCCGCCGCCGAGCTGCTGAGGCAGCCTGAGCTCCAGGTGGGTGTCCAGCCGCCAAGTCAGCGCGGCCCCGGGGTCGGAGGAGAGGTCGGGCCTAAAGGGTTAAATGGGGCTGCGGGCGGTGCGTGGGTCTGGGGTCGACCCTGGCCCCTAGCAGGGGATGGAGTAAGGGCCCCCGAGGGGAGCAGACGTTTGGCAAGTGTGAGAGGGCCTGCCCCATGGTGGATTCGGCGAGGGGACCGAGGATGTGGGGGTATGAAAAGGGAGAAAAGTTCACCCTGGGGGTGAGCGAACTGGAATAGGAGCGTGTGTGAGAATGTTCAGCTGTTGTACCTGCCTGAAGAGGGCAGGGAGTTTGAGGGACCCAGAGAAGGGGCCTGAGAGTGAGCTTGGCGCAGGTGTCGAGGGGCTGAAGGGGAATGGAGCAGGCGGGTGGAGGCTGAGCTGGGAAGGGGGAATCCTCAGCCATGCCAGTGAGAGCAACGGCGAGGGGTGGGAACGACGCAGAAACTTCTTTCAGAAAGTGATTATTAAGCACTTCCTTGAGTCCAGTCACTCTATTTTGCTTGTTGCTGTAGACTATTCCGGGCATCTAAAGCTATGAGCCTTCTCAAACGAACAAAAAGCAAGCACATAAAGATCCACACATGATTTTACATTGAATCTGGGGCTTCACAGAGCAGCCCCCCAGCCTGTACCAGGGCCCCAAGTTAAGAGACTCAGCTGTGGAAGATATAAAGAGTGTGGGATCTGTAAAGTGCCCTTACAGGGCACTAAATTATTAACACCAGATGAGCAGTAGAGGCAGTAACTGCTAAAGAACCTTAAAGGACGTTGCAGTCAGTGTGAACTTTATGAAGAGGGTGGAACTTAAAATGAGTGTGTTAGGGGGAGGCAAGTCTGACAAGGGTCCCACATGACCCAGGACCCTAGGTCCTAGGAGAGCCTCCAGGGGGTGGAGGAGCTCTGTGGCTTTCCACCTCTCACCCTGTTAGGAGAGGGGCCCAGGAAGGTGACACATAAATGCCATGTCCTGTAAAGTGTTTCCACATGTTAAGGGGTGTCATGCTCACAGGCATCTAAGAAACTGATTTGGAGAAATCTCAGAAAGAAGAGGCCTGTTTCACTGTTTACTTCAACACTTTCCAAACTTACTCGACTGCGAGTGCCTTTCTTTTCCCCTCCACGTGCCCCTATTAACAGCTAAGAAGCACCAGGACCACATTTTGGGAAAAGCTCTTGAAAAGAATTAAGGACCATGGAAGGGTTTTGAGCAATGGCACAATATTGGGTCGTGATGTGTGATGCAGGGAGTTGAATGGGACAGCCGTGTCTGGGAATGGAGTGGCCAGCAGAGAGGCCAGAGGCAGGGCAGGCCTGAGCCACGGTAAACCAGGCAGTGACAAGGAGTTGAATGGGACAGCCGTGTCTGGGAATGGAGTGGCCAGCAGAGAGGCCAGAGGCAGGGCAGGCCTGAGCCACAGTAAACCAAGCAGTGACAAGGAGTTGAATGGGACAGCCGTGTCTGGGAATGGAGTGGCCGGCAGAGAGGCCAGAGGCAGGGCAGGCCTGAGCCACGGTAAACCAGGCAGTGACAAGAGGTGCATTTGTCCAGGATTGAGAAAAAGAACGTGTGTGGTTTCCCACGGATGATTAGACTGCTACTGTTTCCTTTCCAGGAAATGACCCTTGGCTCTAAAAAGAGGACCCCATTTTTCATGATAAAATGGCACCAGTGAAAACCCCCAGCAGAAAACCAAAGAATGCTGAGGAACCGTTTAATAACGTCTCGCCCGTCCTTTTGAAGAGTCTAGTGGAGGAGCCCAAGGGAAGAACAGAAGTACCTAATCACCTCTTAGAATCGAGTAAGTGGTTAGGAAACAGATTTGCTTTACAGCTCACGTCTTCCCAGGGGATCCAAAGTCCAGAAAGCATAATGGAATTTTTGGTGCTGATTTATCTGTGTTGTTTCATAGGCTCATAATAGTTTTTCTTATTAAGAGCAGTGGTTCTATTTAGGTCCATCCACTTCACTGATAGATTTTTGTGGTGCAGATTATTCACCAGGTTCTGTTGCTTCCACATCCTCAGATATCTTTCCATCTGTCCCCAGTGCCTGTTCCACATCCTCAGCAGGTCACCAGACTATTGTAGTGCCCTCCTCCCTGGCCACACTCTCCTCGGGACCCCCTTTCACACCCCAATCAGTTTCCTTTGCAGAGTCCTGGCTCTCTCCTGTCCCTGTCCTGCTCAGATGTGCTCAGCGGTTCCCCTTGCACACAGAATAAAGTTGCACTTCCTTCTCTGGGCATTTGGTCCCCTTTGCTGTTGATCTGAACCTGCCCGCCCAGTGCCATCCCCTGCCGTCCCCTCTATCCTCAGCTCCAGCCACGCCATGTTACTCCTGCTCCTTCGAGACTGCATGCATTTCATACCTTCTTGCCTTTTTTCAAGCACGTTCCCTAGTGTGAAAAGTCTGGTAAATCCTGTAGCTATTATGTAAAAGCGAATCATTTTGCCTCATTATTCTCACTTAAGCCACATAACCTCATGAGATACGCTCTCCTTCCATTTTACTCTTGAGGAAGCTGAGACTCAGGTCAGATGAGTTCCCCAAGGTGGTGCAGCTAGGTGGCGAGTTGGTGTTCAGCTGATGCCGCGCGATGTCCAGCCGGTCTTCAAGGCCCACCGCAAATGCTGGAAATGTAGTGTTTCGGTGTCGTTCTTTCATCTCTGTAGAACTTGAGTGCAAGTTAGTATGCTTGACCATTTCTGGGCGTTAACAGAAAAATGCCTGTTTCATGTCTATTTTGTGGCCCTAAAAACAAAACCCTCAGCATTAAAAAAATTACCAAATAATGTCAATTTCAATACTTAAAAAATTACCAAATAACCTACAGAGATTGTCAGTCCCCCTGAAACACCATCTTTACCCCATTCCAGTCCTTCAGTTGGGCCCAACGCTGATGAGAGTGACAGCTTACCTGGTGAGGAGCAGAAACCCCAACCACTTCACACCCACTTCAGATGTATGCTGGGATCACAGCTAAGGGGTGGTGTAAGGCTGTCCGTGCCTCACAGGATTTGGGTGCAGCCAAGGCTGAAAGGTTATCGTTCGTTAGAAATTGGGCAGTGCTTTCATATTGAGGGAGGCTGCTTAGTGGGGGGAGTCAGACAGACCTGGGCTTGGTTTTTAACCGTCAGCTGTGGGCGAGTTGCTTAGTATTGTAGAGTCTCAGCATCCTCATCTGCAGAGTGGAAATTATACCTACCCCGTAGCATAGGACTGGGGATAACAAACAAATGCCTGGTGTAAAGCCCTGATGGTGCAGAAACGAGCGTGTAGCGGGTTCTCAGTGCCTGCTCCGCACGGCTCAGCGCCTGCTGAGTGAAGAGCTGGGGGGTTTGTAGACCCAGACACTTGTGAGCTCAGCTGTGTTAACCGTGTTCTCAAAACTGGGGGGAAAAAAAGACACTCATGTTACAACAATAGCAGTTTGAGACTTTCCTGTCCAGAGCAATAATTATTCATAGCTGTCAGACTACTCTATATCACACTGTAATTCTATTCAGAGGAAATCAAATAATGACAGTTACATACAGAGTACAGTTGTGCATTGCTTAACGCTGGGGATACATTCTGAGAAATGCGTTGTTAGGCCATGTTGTCTTTGTGTGAACATCACACAACGTACTTACACAAGGCTGGATGGTATAGCCTACTACACACCTGTGTGTTAATCTGGTGGGACCGCCATCATATGCGGTCCGTTGTTGACCGAAACATCATTATGCAGTGCTTGACGGTAATAAAATTAAACTCTGGTGTTTGGAGTCTTTGAACTGGGTCCTCATTTCGTAGTAAGTGATGGCGGTGCTTGAGCAAAGGCAGGGCTTGTGCTCTTTTTGAGCTCGTGTTCTATACGAAAACTCGTACAAAATGTGTGAAGAGCAAATTATTTTAATAGGTAATAAACAGTCGATGTGGATTTGTATTGTGATGATAATATCTCCAACTGATGGGTACAACTCGAGAGGGAGAAGCAGAGCGTGCGTTTGGAACTGACCGTTAATCTTGTTGACAGCTGTATCCTCTGTCTGAAAACTTCATATGCTTAAAATATCCTAAATTAAATATCCCTTTCATTTAATATTTTTTTATGTCTCATCTCATACTTATCTGCATTGTTTTTTTAGAGATTTATGCAAAGCTTCTGAATAATAAGGTCATCCAGGCAAAACCTGGCATCCTGCACTTTGGAGGCTATCAAGTAGGAAAACAACACCAACAGGCTCTGGTAAGCACTTTTTGGGTGGGATAATTAATCATTGTAATGAAATGACATGACTGCTCTGCGTTTATGTTACTTGTTCATCTAAAGAGCAGCGTACTCAGCAGAAGGGCAGGTATAAATTGAGCCAGAAAGGCAGTTCTAGAATGAGAAATTTTGAAGTTGCACCAGTGTCCTTGGGCAAATTACTTCCCCTGCCAAGGGCTCCTCCTCTTTCCAAACGGCTACCGTTGCTGAGTGACTCTTAGGGACCAGGAACCGTGCTTGTGTCTCCTATGATTCATTTGGGCTTCTACTAGCTCTGTGGAGGTTGTATTATTACTCGCATTATATAGATGAGGAAACCGAGATTCCAAAAGGTTGAATAGTTGGCTCAAGAACACAGAGCTCCTAAGTGACAGAGACAGACTGACCCCTGGGTTGCCTTCCTCCAGACCAGTGTACCCTTCTCCGTGCCTACATCACCAGGGAGAGGGTGTCCGTTTCCTAGGAGGCTCGAGCGAGGGTTCCATTTCACCTGCTTGGGTCAGATGCCCATGGTTATATCAGTCATCCTGGCCAGAGAGATTCTGGCCAGATCTGGGGCAGCAGGAGTCAGCGCCGCTGAACAGGCTCCAGAAGGGACAGATGAAGGAATGGATCACAAAGCAGCTGAATCCTATAGTGACTGCAGTCCACCCCTGAGCCACACAGAGGTCCAGTCCTTCCTGGGTCCCCTTCAGTGACCTGGATGTTCAGACCGTGGTGGGCTCTGGGTGGCTACAGCATTCCTGACTCCCATGCTAAAGGGGACCTGAACATTTAAATCGGCTCTACAACCCCAGTGACCTCACCATGATCCCCTAAAGTCACACTGAGCAGGGCACCAGAGTTACTCTAACAGGGCGCTAGATCTGAGAGCCAAACTGGCCTCTGAGTGTGGACTGGATTCTCTTCACATGGGCCCTGAGATTCTGGCTTTATGTAAGGTCCCCCTCTGGCCCTGTGCCCACACAAAGTCTCGACTTTTAGATGTAGTGCATTCTTAGAAGCCGTGGCTCAAAGTGGATCATTTTAAGGTAGGATTCCGGCTATTGTGTTAGACTGCTCAGGGTGAGAAGAACCACTGGAGGAAACTGACAAATGATAGAGCCGTCAGGAAGTGGAGTTGGGTCTTATCAAGCGTCCCCAACAGCAGAGAATGACGTTTCCGTGAGTCCTGACACACTCAAGTGGGCGGAAAGAGAGTAGATGAAGAGAGGAAGCTGTCAGGTGCCAAGTGTTTGCTCTCAGGAAAAGGGTCAGGATCTAAAACTGATTAGGAACTTTCCCCCGTCAACTGACAAGGAGGTATTTCCTAGAGCGTTGGTGTCAAAGACCAAGGTTAGTAATTCACTTGGGAGCTTACTTTTCCTGGGTATGAGGTATGCTGTCTAGATTACGGTAGGAAAGATCTAAATAATTACCATTCATAATATTCATTGTTCATAATGAATAAACAATTCACTCCCCAGCCCCCTCATTCTCCTCATGCCCCCACTCACCCCACCCCCACCCTCAGCAACCACTAATCCACTTTCCATTGGTGTAGATTGCCTATTCTGGACATTTCATGTGAATGGAATCATGTAATACGTGGTCTTTTGTACTAGCTTCTTTCATTTGGCATGATGTTTTCCAGGCTCATTCAATTTGCAGCATCTATCGGTACTTCATTCCTTTTTACGGCTGAATAGTCTTCCATTGTCTGGGTGTACTGCATTCTGTTTATCTGTTCAGCGGTTGATGGACATTTGGGTTTCCACTTTGGGGCTATCACGAATAATGCTGCTCTGAACATTTCTGTGCATGTTGTTGTATGGACATATTTTCAGTTCTCTTGGATATATATCAAGGAGTGGAATCGTTGGGTTGTATGGCGTATTAGTTTTCTGTGGCTGCCATAACAAATTACCACGAATTTAGGGGCTTAAAAAGACAGAAATTTATTCTGGAGGCCAGAGACCAAACTCAAGGTGTCGGCAGGGCCATGCCACCTCCGAAGGCTCTTGGGAAGAAGCTTTCCTTGCCTCTTCCAGCTGCTGGTGGCTCCAGGTGTTCTTTGGCTTTATGGCTGCATAACTCCAATCTCTGCCTCCATCTTCATATGGCCTTCTCCTCTGACCCCCTGTATCTTTTCCTCTTCTGTCCCTTAAAAGGACACCTGTCATTGGAATTAGGGCTCATCTGGGTAATCCAGGATGATCTCATCTCAAGGTTCTTAACTAGTAACATCTGCAATGACCCTTTTCCCAAATAAGGTCACATTCACACATTTCAGGTCTTAGGATGCAGAGATATCTTTTTGAGCCCACCATTCAACTCACTGTTGTTTTGTTTGCATTTCCCTAAAGGCTAATGATGTTGAGCGTCTTTTCATGAGCTTACTGGTCATGATGTAAAAAAGCCCTGTGGAAGAGAAGGCATTTGGGGAGAAGGCATTCAAGGCGTAGAGAAAGACATGGAGAGAGGTGCAGGGGGAGCAAGCACGTGGCGTATCTGGAGACCAGCGTGCAGCCTGGTTTACCTGGATTGTAGGGTTTGGGAGGGAGATAAAGCTTCATTCTGCTCAAGACCAGAGGCCATCCCTGTTTTCTGTGTAGCACAATGCCTGACGCACAGAGGGCACTCTATAAACATTTGTGACTGATACTGAACTCACTTTATAGGAAGAGAATAAATTGGCAGACTCACTAATTCCAAGGAAATGCAGGGTAAAGTCTAGATAATCATGCTGTTGCTCTCAGACATTAAAACAGACGGATAGATAAAAGTACAAAATGATTTCATCTTAATAACATCCTGAGAGATCTTGGGCGAGCCAGCCTCCTGTTTCCGTCAGCACGCTTAGCGGAAACCTAAGGTCATTACCTTGAGATTCTTGCCAAACAAGGGGAAAATCTCTGCTTTTATCTTGGTTTTGCTACAGGAAAGTAAGCAAATCGCCCAAGAATGGAATGATTGAATGTGGGTTTAAAACCACAATAACTTGTTCATTAACGTTGGAGATTGATGCAGACCTGGTTAAAGGATTTAAGGTTAAAGGATTTTACTTGAATTCATATTGCAATCAATGTTTCGATTTACTTTGAAACTTGAAATAATAGTTCCCAGGTTTCTCAAAACCAAGACCTCTTAAATTCTTCTTCCCTCTGCAGAAAGATTTTGTTTGGGAAACCATACTATTAGGTGAGGAGCTACGCCGCTAAGGGAGGCATTAAAAGATTCCAACCTGGAGGCTGAAATGTTGTGTTTGGAAAATACTGTGATAAGTGCTTGGGGTTGAAGGTTAGCCCCTCCCCACCTCAAGCCAAGCCTTCACTAGAGGGTGGGTTTTGCTCTGCCCTGTAGAAGGAGAAGACTAGTATCTCCTGAGGGGTGCAGAAGGGAGGCCTGAGGAGATATGGGAGGGGGTGGAGAGAGCTGTGAGCAGTCCTTGGGAAAGCCCTGCAGATGTTGAGGAAAAGCTGTTAACCCATGACTGCCTCACATGTGGTTGGTGGTTTTGCTGTGTGTTTATTGTGGGGAGCAGTTCTGAAAAACCGAAGCAGGGGCTGAATTTCATGTTACAGTCAATATGGTGCCCTGTGGAGGTCACGTCAAGGTCACAAGGACCCACAGAGCCGGGCAGAGATCAGCTCTCAGGCGAACAGAGAGCTTGGAGGGCCTGGGGCTATCTACTGACCCCAAACGGGAAGGCAGGGTAGGATTTTAGGAAATTTTATCTTGCCTCACTCAAGGGCCATGTTGGATTACTCATGTTTTCTTACATTTTCAAATAAACTTTTAATATTAATTTAAAATATACTTTCTGAACACTTCCTTCACCTTCACAAGACTGTTTTTCTTTGAATGATTTTTTTCCCCCAGTTTTAATTATAAATGGAAAGGCAGGAATGCCATTTTGGCCCTGAAAGGATATCATTTTTAACAATTTAGGAAATAAAACTCAGGGCCAGCCCAGTAGTATAATGGTTAAGTTTGCACGCTCTGCTTTGGCAGCTGGGGGATCGCAGGTTTGGATCCCAGGCACAGACCTACACACTGCTCTTCAAGCCATGCTGTGGTGGTGTCCCACATACAAAATAAGGAAGATTGGCACAGATATTAGCTAGTGGGACGCCACCTCAGCATGGCTGGATAAGCAGTGCCATGTCCGCGCCCAGGATCCAAATCAGCAAAACCCTGGGCCGCCACAGCAAAGAGTGTGAACATAACCACTCAGCCACAGGGCTGGCCTCTAATATATCTTTGATTATCATGAATGGGATCTTTACTGTTTTATTCTCTAAGAAAATCATTCCATATTTTCTCATTGCTAATTTTCCACTCCCTTGACAATGTAGCCATCATCTGAAACCCGGCCTTCACATGGGAGGGTCGTGCGCAGGTTTGCATTTGCTCTGCCACTCTGAGGGGGGAGGAAACACTGGGTTTCATTATTTTTTTAAATCAAAATCTGGCTCAGCCCCTCCCCGACAGGCGCTGGCTGGATCTCCAGTCTCAGAGGTTCCAGCTCCTGTTGGACCATTCTGGAATACTGGAGCAACTGAGCCAGCCCAGCAGCTGTGAGGAGAGCCTTTTGTCTCTAGCCTGTGAAGCTGCTTGTTGCAAACTAATCTAGGCCCGTGAAGTTCTTTCTAACTGTCAGATAGATAATTGAAAATCTGACGGTACTGGGAGCTGGGAGCCATAGGTCCCCTCCCCGACAGCCTTGCTGCTAGGTGGTCCGCTGCAAGGAAAACAGGTCTGAGAAGAGATTCGGCCGTGCATATAAACACTTATTAGCAAGCAGGCAAAAAAGACTCATCGAACTTACAATCCCCAAGAAGCCCCAGCTGGAGCTCCTTGCAAGGACGCTCTGCTGGCAGCAGATGCCGCAGCTTTCCCTCGGTGGGACTGGCGACCTTCCGACAGGCAGACAGGATTTTTCGTGAAGTGCAAAACCCGGGACCTAAGGGAGTCCTGGGCCTTTGAATGTCATTCTAAAGGATAATGGCCTCTGGGCTCCCCAGATTCCCATAGCCCTTTTGTTCAAGAGCGGAGATGCCTGCATGATATTCCAGTTAGTCCGCATCTCCCAAGTGTCCTCGACGCTCATGTGGAAGAGCCCTGGTGTGATCCAGGGGAGCGTTACTGGAGCGCTCTTAGTGGCCGCCTCTGGAGCGTGGAGTCTGGATGGGGCTTGCAGTGCCCTGGGCCCTCCTGGGGTGCAGGTTACTGATTCCTTCTAGGGTAACCGCCCCCTGGATGTACGTTAAAACCAGTCCATGCACCCTGTTGGTTGCACTGTCCTTACTGAATTATTTCACAGTAAATGACAGACAGTATAACCGCTTCTGCTCCCAGGTCTTCCTGCACTCCAGCTCGAGGCCGTCAAGGTCCTCCCTCCACGACAAGCATAGGGAGAGAGCTCTGTGTCAGGGTTCCAGGCCCCAGGCCGAGTGGTCACCTCGCCCTCTGCAGGCAGGTCCCACCACCCCAGAGCTCAGACAGTGATGGGCACAGGCTGCAGGCGTCCTGGGTCCCAGCATCCCTGCCCTCCCAGTCTCTCCTGGAAGGGCAGCTCTTGTGGATGGGGCCCCAGGAGTCCACACCTTCACCAGGACGGCCCCTGTGCAGGGCCCTTGGAGGTTGAGAGAGGCCTGGGCAACGTTTGGGGTTTTTTTTAGCATATTAAAAAAAGAGACTAGGGGCTGGTGCCATGGCCTAGTGGTTAAGTTCAATGCCCTGCTTCGGCAGCCCAGCTTTGGTTCCCGGGCACAGACCTACACCACCTGTCAGTGGCCATGCTGTGGCGGCAGCCCACATACAAAATAGAGGAAGACTGGCACAGATGTTAGCTCAGTGCGAATCCTCCTCAGCCAAAAACCAAGAAAAAGAGAAGACATGCCAAAACAGGGTCACAAACACTGTGGTGCTTTAAGAAGGTTCATAGGTGACAAATGAGAACTATCAACAAATGCCAACACCAGTGTGATCTCACCAGACAATAATGTCTGAAGTCTAATTTAGGGCTTTGATGATCATGAGGCCTCGGGCAGTGGGCCCCGCGACAGGCCCAGGCTCTGGCCTAGACTTTGGAAACCAAAGGCCTCTTAATGGTCCCCTGGCCCAAGTGAAACCCAGATCCCCAGAACCCAAAGTCCTTGCTCCACTCCCAGCAGAGCGAGGAAACCCCTCTCCTCAGAGACCTGGGTTCATCCAGCAGGTTGTCCTGCCTCACGGGGACAGCCCTCGCTGCCACCGTCAGAGAACTCCTGGCCTCCAGTCCTTTTAGTCTGTCCCTGGATGAATTGGAGGCTGTCCCGGCCACACTTTTCCTGATAGTTTGACTGCCTAAGTGTCTCCAGTCTCCAGGACCAGTGGCATTAATCAGAGAAACTGTGGGAGTTGGTGGGTGGCTGGCTTCCTAGCTCAGTCGAATCACAGGACTAAGTGAGTTCAACCGAGAGGCTCACGGGGTAGCTGGTCAGGACTGGGAGGAGGGGGTGTGAGGGGACAGTGCGTGCTGGGGCGACGCTGGGGTGCAGGCTCTGCTGAAGCCCCTAAGCCGGGCAAAGGGCACGTGGCGTATTGTTCTTTAGATGGTGATTGTTGTGTTTATTATTCTTTGAATGGTGTAGGATGGATTTTGAATCTTTTAACAAGTTAAGAAGTACATTCTATCCCCTCAAATCCCTTTTGGAACAAGATGAGCTGTAAATAAACGAGGAGATGAATATGCAAATGGGTGAGACAGCGTGTATTTTTCTGAATGCTTCTTTTTCTCTCCCAGCATCTGGTCAACGTCTCGAATGAAGACATAGATGTTCATATCTTACCCCCACAAACCAAATACTTTCAGATCAAGTATGTGAAAAAGGTAGGCAGCGGGTGCCAGTTCCTGCCCTGTGTTCCCTGTTGGGTCGAGGCTCTCTGTCCCGGGTCTGCTGGGGCGGCTGTGTGGTGTGTTGTCACCGCAGTCCCATGCTCTGTGTGCTCTGGGGCTTGTCCGGACAACAGCCCGCTTGTCTTCTAGGAACACCGCCTTGTCCCTGGCTTGTCCCTCACGGTCACCGTTACGTTTTCTCCAGACAAGTGGCGCTACTATTATGATTGCATCCGTGTTCACTGTAAGGTAAGCTTCTTCAAATTGCTTTTAGGGGGAGGGGATGGGGTCAAATCTTACATCCTCCAGGGAGGAAGACAGAGAGAGAGTGACGAGCGTGAATCCTCAGCCCAGGGACTGGGATGCCTCGGGCAGCCATCTGAGTGGCATGGAGGGTCCTTGTCCAGCGGCGTGGGTCCCAGTTGGGAAAGCATTAGGCCACCGAGGACAGGGCAGAGCCACGAGACCCTGCTTGCTGCGGGTTTTCCGCCTGCCCTGGCCTGAGACCTCATTTATCGTATGGTGCTGGGAGACAACAAAGGCTTTTTCAAATAAATTAAACGCACTCCTTTAAGTGCGAGGTTAGGAAATTAGCAACAACCTCGAGTTGTGATTATAAACCTCGGAGACTGGACGGTGTCTTGTGCGGGGATTCCCCAGGGGCAGCCCGGGGGTCTGCAGGGAGGTGGCAGCCTGTGGGGCCTGCCCCCAGACGGCTGTGCTGTGCGAGTTCCTGTGAGCCTTTCCTGGGTCACCTAGTCCACCCCTGGGCCTCCAGCCAGAGCCAGCTCCACGTGCTGTCAGTCCTTCTCTTAACACTGTCGCCTCCACCCTGAGCCAGCTCCACGTGCTCTCAATCCTTCTCTTAACACTGTCGCCTCCACCCTTCCCTTTGCTCTGTATTCCAGGCCCGACTCTTGCAAATTGAGAAGCCTTAAGGTTAACTAAATTTAGTTTTTCAAAACTAAAATGGAAGAGTATGTTTTAGTAGCAAATACAATTCAAAAAACAAACAAACACAAAAACTAAAAATGAAACTGGAGTACTGCTTTCAGGAGGAACATTCTGTACCAAGAAGGAAGATCCTGGGACAGGATGGCACAGAGGGCCGGGGCCCGGCTCCCGTCACTGAAGAGGATGCTGATGATCCTGGGACAGGACGGCACAGAGGGCCGGGGCCCGGCTCCCCTCACTGAAGAGGATGCTGATGATCCTGGGACAGGACGGCACAGAGGGCCGGGGCCCGGCTTCCGCCACTGAAGAGGATGCTGATGATCCTGGGACAGGACGGCACAGAGGGCCGGGGCCCGGCTTCCGCCACTGAAGAGGATGCTGATGATCCTGGGACAGGATGGCACAGAGGGCCGGGGCCCGGCTCCCCCCACTGAAAAGGATGCTGGTGATTCCCGGCCTTCATGAAGGACTTTTCACTTTCCAAGGCCGTCATCTGCTTGGTTCTTAAAAGCACCTGTCAGGAAAGGCAGAATTATCCCCATTTTGCAAAGGAAGAAACGAGGCCTGGGGAGGTTAAAGATCTTGAGCCAGGTCACACATTACGCGGGACCAGGGAGCAGGGCCTGCGCCCTCTGCCCAGTTCATTGCTTACTGTGCGACGCTGTCGGGCTCAGCTGACTCTGTGCTGGTTTCTCTCTCTTGGGCCACTGAAGACTGTGCTTCCATATAATTTCCTGAAATAGGAGCAGATAGATTTCTGTCTTCGTATTTACGTCAGAGCATTGTTATCTTTAGCTTTCCTGGATAAAAATGAATGAAATGTGCTTAAGTGTGTTTCCTACACTTTGTTTATAGCTAAGAAAACTCAGTATTTCTAATGTTGTACTTAAGCACTCAGGTTTCTTAAGGAAATGTTTTTAATGGTAGAAAACAAGAAATAAAGCATCTACAAGTTCACCTTTGAACATTATAGTCTTCAATCTGGTAAACTTGACTTTTCTCCCATTAATTTTAGGGAGACGAGACTTTGCTTGTTCCCATCCATGCCTATCTTGTCATGAACACACTGGACTTTCCCTCATTTATAAATCTATCAAATGTTCTCCTTGGTGAAAGGTGAGTTGCCAAAATGAACTATCAAAATGTCACAGGATGTGAAAAGTTAAGAGATACGTATGAAAAAACTTAGGTTTGTATTTTTCCTAATAGAAAGCTATCCTTCTAGCTGAATTAGCCTGGACTTGCAAGGTGGACTTGCAAGACTCTGGTTGCAAAGGGACAAAAAACCAAGTCAAAATATTATAAGCAAGAAAGGGAGTTTATTAGGCCCTTTCATTGGAAGGGTGCAAGATGGGTCTTCAGGCGTGGCCGGGTCTCGGGGTTTGAGTCGGGTTGCAGAGTCTGCCTCTCCCCGTGTCTTGGTTTTGCTGGCCTGTGCAACACACAGTTCCTCCTCAACAGGCTCCCCGTCATGGGGGCGAGGCAGCTGCCAGAAGCCCCGGATGCTCCTGGCAACAGGGGGAGTGGATACGGGGAAGGCGAAGACAGGAGAAAGGCACTGTAGAAGCCAAATCTCAGCTTCCCTCTTCCTTCTTGTCGGGAAAATAGTTAATAATTCCAATTGTAATGTAAGATATGTCTTGTTTTTTCAGTAAATAGTTGTTAAATACCTACTGCCAGGCATAGTGCTGTTGCCCCTAGGGTTACAAAGAAGATGGATATTGAGCTGCTAGAAGTTGATATATAATGGCCATGCCAATCATTAAAATCCTAAAATGCTTTTGTGCTTGTTGGGAAATAGATCCCATCCTGAGTCCTTCATCCCTGCATCCCAGCTGCCTGGCCCCTCTCCGCCTTCCCCTCGTCTCCCGGTGACTCAGTGACTAAGTTGTTAATACCTAGCAGTTTGCCCCGCAGGACCTGGCTCCGGCCTTCCATCCATTCTAATTGAGCAGTGCTTGGGAAGTCCCAGTGGATGGATATTTTGAATATCACCCACGGTAAAAAGAATAGACACGAATAGACAAAGATTCTGATTCTGAAGGTCTTCGAGTGTAATTGTGATGGAACCACGTCATCAATTAATTACACCAATTGCTAAGTGCTGTAATAGAGGCGCACAGGGTCCCATGTAGGCCCCGAAGAGGGAGCACGAAACTGCCTGGAGAGATGGGGAAAGTCCTCACCCATTTGGGGGTGACATCTGGTTATCCTAAGAGGACACCATGGGATGGAAGGTGACAGTGGCATTCCAGGCAGGGAGCACGTACAAAGTCATGGGGGCAGCCCAGAACATGGCCTACATCTTGCAGGTGATGAAGGGCCCCTGAAGGATTTGCATCCACCCAGGAGCTGGCAAATCCTGGACGCCTCTTGATCCAGGTCCAGACGGTGAGGAAAGCCTGTGGGCATCAGCGTGCCGTGAGGGTGAGAGCAAGTTCAGGTGCCTGCAGGCAGCGCTGCGCAGGGGTAGGGGTTGCTAATGAACAGATGGAACTAGAGAGAAGGGCAACTGAACCCTTTTTGGGGGGTGCTTATGGACCAATGTGTATGAGCTTCAGGGCCCTTCCTTTTTGGCATCATGTGTTGTCCTTGAGTGAAACCTCCAGATTTAGATCTGGAACAATTGCCTTGGTTCAGCTGATGTGTGCCCCTCTTCCCCCAGCCCTCACACCTTCCCATGAGCTTCTGACTCACCATGTCTCTTTACATTTTTTAAAAACAGCTCCTTAAGAATTGTAAATAAATAATAGATACAAAAGAACATATAATAATCATTTATTTCATTTATTTTAGTATTTTTAACACATACACATACACCCCTAAATAAGACATTGTTTAGCTTTGCCAGTGTTTGATCTTTATGTAAATGGAATCATTCTGTGTGGAAGTTCTTTTGGAACTTGCCTTTTTCATTCACCATCAGGTTTTTGTGGTCCAGCTGTGCTAACACATAGAGTTTACTACTGTAGAGTCCACTGGATGGATTTGCCACAATTTTTATCTGCTTTACTGCTAATGGACCTATGGGTTGTTTCCAGTATTTTTTTTGCTGTGACCAATACTGCTGTTGTGTATCCTTGTGCCTGGGCTGGGGCTCGTGTTCTAGAGTTTCTCCAGGGTGTGCGCCTAGAAGTGGACTTGCAGGTCTAGCCCAGGTCCAGTGTTGCTGTGTAACACGGAGTTCTGTTTCAGAACGGTCGCCCATTCCCCCACCAGCAGTGCGTGAGAACCACTGGTTTCCTACGTCATTGCCGACAGCGGGTGTCGTCAGACTTTTACATTTTAGGTGGTGTGTGTTCTTGGCCCCTTGCTCTTCCATCTCTACTTTCCCCAAAGCGTTCTGCCAGGACTCTGTCCCAGCGTTTCCTCCCTCCCCCGTCAACCCTTCCTGCCTTCCCCCAGTCCTTCTCAACACTGGGCGCTCTGCACAGGGTCCCCGAGAGTCTAACACAGGTGAGAGGCACTCTACGCATTTTGAGGGCAAACATAGCTATTTCCTTTAAATGGGCGAATGTAGCAACTTCTACCAAAATCAAAGTGGTGGGAAACTGCTAACTTCCTAGTTCATTAATTCTTTCTGTCTTTCTTTTTTCCCTTCACAAATTACTTTTTGCCTGGACAATAAGTCAGGCTTATGAGTGGAGAACAACATTTCAAAAACTGGTGGAAATGGTAGTCCTAATGCAGACATGAGCCTTGGTTCTTAATACACAAATCTACCAACTTCCCCGCAGGCTTTTCCCAGCCATTTTGTACATAAGGCCCTTCAATTGATATAAGAATGAACATTTCAGCTAAACAGTTTATTAAACTGAGTTGTGTATAATGATGCAATATTTAAAAAAATCTTTCAAGAGATAAGCATGCTACTTTTTCCCTCCAAACGTTCTGGCAGCAGGCAGTGCCTTTCCGAGACTTCATGCACTTTACCTAATGGCTTTTACGGACTTTTAACTTCAAGAACCGTCCTATGCTGCTTTCAGTCCAAAATGTCTGGTAGCAGGACAGGCAGTGAGTATTTCAAGGGGTTTCACCTGAAATGCTCCCTGTTCATCCCAGGCTGCCGTTGGGGTGGAAGGTAGCATTTGGGTAGGTTATTTATTCAGCATTCATTCACTCAACAAACCTTTGTTGAATGCTCCCTGTGTGCTAGGCACAGTGTTAGGTACTGAGGATGCAGAGATGATTAAGACCTGATAATCAGGATTAAATGGACAATTCTAACTTCCAGTTCAGAGTATTCAATGGGAGGACACCTAACTCAGCCTGTGTCAGGTGAGTTGGGGGCAGGTGGGGTGGGGGAATCAGACAAGACGAGACTTCCCAGAGGAGAACAGGTCTGAAGTGAGTTTTCAAGATTGACTAGAAATCAGCCAGCGGAAGGAGGGAGCAGAGTAGGAGAGAGGAGAGGTGCTTGAGGCGGTGCAGTAACATGGGCAGAGATGTGAAATGGCATAGCACGTCTGGGCCCGTCTAGAACATTCCTGTGACTGGACGTGGGTCGCAGGAGCTGTGGCAGAGGAAATAGGGAGAAGACTGAGCCAGAAGGCCTCATAGGCATTGCTGGAAAGGTAGATTTTACCCTGAGACCATCACTGAAAGATTTAAGCAGAGAAATGGCGCAGTCAGATCCAGCTCTGGTGGCCTGTGCAGAGAATCGGAGGGGGCGTGGCCAGGGCCACTGTGGTGAGTGGAACCGTGTGTTCATCTCAGGGCTACAGGGCATTCGTAGACCACGGGGCCACATGCACAACCCTATGAGAAAAGGTCCCCGGCTGCTCCATTCCAAAGCCAGGATATTTCAGTCTCCGGAACTTTTACGTCACAAGTTCAGGAATTTACTAAAGGATACTTTTCCTTAAGTGGGGAACCTCATGGCTCATTTCAGAAAGTGGGGGAATAACCAAGGTCAGAATAGGATGTCTGAATAAAACCAAATTCTCTCGCTGCCCCTGGAGTTGAAAGCATCTGGGCCACAGGAGAATGTGCATTCTTGAACCAGTGCTGAGAGGGAAAGACTGATGGTGAGAACTGGCCCCAGCAGAGACAACATCCAGGTCCTGCCTGGCATTGTACCGATAAAGAAAGTCCTTACTGGTGGAGAGGGGCCCGAGAACCAGCTGTCACTGGCTGAGAATGAGGGTGTCAGGATAAAATTAGAAAACTGATCTTCAGAAGGATTCTGTGCAGCCTTCAAAGAGAATAAATTCACGTTTTCCAGCTCAGCAAGGGAAGCAGGCTCCTTACTCTCACTAAGGTCTTGCTCTGTGCGTCCCAAACTCAAGGTTGATTTGAAGGAGCAGCAGCATTTTATGGAAACTTTCTGACAAGGGTGACTGGAGCACGCTGACCCGCTTGTTCTTTACCTCAGCCCTTACGTGGGTATGTGGAGCGGGAGTGAACTTGTGTTTTAAAACTGCTTCAAAACTGATATTCAGACAAAAGGACTACAGCCACTCAACAAAGAAGAGTTTATCGGCTTGTTTTAAAACTGTCGTAACGTGTGTCCCAAAGCTGGCTCAGCCTCAGTTCTTTCAGGAGTCTGCTGTACGTTTGGAAGACAAAGAATGTCACACAGATACATCACTGCTGTTCATATCTTTTGATCTGTAAATGATTTCTATATCAATGAGCAGTTGACAAAGGACAAAATTAATATCTAGAACTTACAAATTAATAAGAGAATAGAACAACCTCATAGAAAATTAGGCAAAGAATACGCACAGGCATAGAAGAGGAAACCCAGATGGTTATATATGGATAGAAGCTCAACCTCGAAGAAATGAAAATGAAAATAAAATGAGATACCATTCCACCTCTGTCAGGTTGGAAGCAGTTAAAATGCCTGAAAATCCCGTGTTGGCAAGCAACAGTGACTCGCACACGCTGCTGGTGCAAGTATAAAGAGGTCAAACGGCTTTGCAGAGCATTTTGGCCATATCTAGTAAAGCTGATATTTTTACTCTTCTGCTAACTAGCAATTCCATTTCTTGGTTATACCTGGAGTAGCTCTGGTGCAGATGCATAAGGAGTCACATACAAAGATTGTCGTCACCACTTTGCAATGGTGAAAAAGTGCGAACAGCCTAAATGCCCTTCAGCAAGAGAGTCAT